ACACAAACTGAAAGATTGACCATAAAGTTGAGGTTGACTTCATGTTAAAAATGTAGCTCGGCTCAAAAACGGATTGAAAAACTCTGTATTATATCATCTGGTTGTTCTGTTATGATGTTATTCGACTCACTGGTTGTTGGCGGCAGACGGGTCGTCCTCAGGTAGATCCAGGATGTCGTCCTCCAGGTCGCTCACCTTCACCTGCTTCACCGCCTCCAGCAGCAGAGAGTCTGGGTTCACTCGCTGCTGATGGACGCCTGAGAGGAGGAGTAGAGACGGGAGATAATTTAACTCTGAGAGGAGGTGTCCAGCGATGATGCAGAGGTTAATATCACATGGCACTGTCGGAAAATGTGCTTCTTAACATGTTGTTAAGGGCATAGAAAGTACAAAAACGTACCTGACAGGACCATAACACTTCCATCAACTTAAAGGTGACCTATCATGCAAAATGCACTTTTGTACGTCTTTTATACATGAATATGTGTCTCCGGTGTTCCAGGGAACTCACCAAGTGTCAGAAACACAACCCTCTCTATTTTCCTCCATACCCAAATCTCTTAAAAAGGGGCTGCAACGGATCTGAAACAGACTGATCCAGATTTGAACACTTCTGTGACGTCACAGAAGTGGCGCTACGGTTATTGGGCCAACTCCACCAATCAGGAGGAGACAGCCACGGACATTGCCGTTCGAAAGCGCTGGAGACGCTGTAGTACATATGCCAGGCCTGTAGATGGTGCTGTTCTCACAGAATCAGCCCATGAAAAGACAGTGTTAAATTGAGCGAAATGAGGAATGGCTAAAATGCATGATCTGTTTGGTATTTTGAAAAATAAAAAGTATAAATATGCCTTATATAGGTATGGTCCTACACTATATTATTCAAATATAGCCTGATCGGTCCACTTTAATATAAAAACCCTCTTACTGGTGTGATAGGTATGGAAAGGGATTATAAAATATCGCCATATCATGTACTGTGATAATATTTTTAGAGAATGTCACCCAGCTCTAGTTTCAACATAACCTTATAAACCTTCAAAAATCAAATGTTTCAAAATCCTTTATCAATTAGGAAATGCTGTTAACAATATGTGGAATAGGCCGTTTGGCTTGGGCAAGATACAGCATATTACTGCATTCTCTGAGAAATAAAGCATATGTGTAGCTATGAGATGAGTCGAGACATTTTGTAATTTGCCAAGTGCTTCATGTCCTGAGGGAACTTTTATGTTATTGTTTATAATCTCAGATATCAATTTTCTTGGAAAAAGCCAGGACTAGACAAGCCTGTGCATTTAGGCGTGTGAACAACCTGACATTATGCTTCTGTAATGTTTCTACGTAGAAGAACTGCTCTCACTCACAGCTCTGATTGTGTCTGTTGCACAGCTTATCAGCTGGAAGCAAAGCAGTGATTAAACTAAAGAATGACCAGGTGCTGGAGGCTAGACTTTGTCCCCAATGTTTGACAACACATGACGTCAGCATGGTAAAGCATGACTACTCAACTTGACTCTCTTTTTGGTTTTCTGTAAGCAAAAGTGAGGAAAGTGGCTGGTTTGGTATAAATAGCTAAATACTTATGGTGTAGCTATTTTCAGCCGGGTGCAAAAAAACAGATTTTATTAAATGGCAGCCTCCAAAGCTACGATGGAATGCCAGAAAAAATAATAATTCAGGCCTTACTTTGTTTGACTGCCAACTAAGTTATTAAACAAGTGTCCTGTTGATCCCAGAACTACAGCGCATCTGCTCAGATCCCGCCTACATTGAGGTGGTGCTATAATGACGGTATTCTGAATGTATCTGAGTTTTGATTATCTCATCAACCCTCGAACCAATCTACTTTAAATTTCACGAGATTGTTGCTGAGGACCAGTTTAAATACACTGCAACGCGGGAAGTTATTTAAATCAGCAGTTCTGTAGAAAGCATGATCAGGTCAGGTCAGCCCAGCCGGAATTTGGTTCACGAAAAATGCAACATGGCCCTGTCCACTGCAGCACGTTTCAGTGTGTTTTCTTTCGCAAAAAATAAATGCCATTGTGTTACCGGGGATAGAAACATGACACACTATTAAGGTTGTGATTTTTGGGTGAAATGTAGTGTCTTTCATGCCGTTGTGAGACACTCGCACTTAACCTGAGTTTCCAGTTAATGTCAAATCCAAAAAGAAACGGGAGTAGTGCCCCTTTTTAAAGGATAAGATCAAAACCTTTTGAAGTCCATTTTAATTCAACAATGATTCGTTTTTGCACATTGAAAAGGTTATGGCGCACTGTAATCCTCCTTTTTAAAGTGACCCCATAATAAGGGTTCTAATGTAGGAGATCGGACACAAAACCATTTTTTCTCCCTGAACAGCATTTCCTTGGTGAGACACAAGGCTCATGTATGTCTGCTGCCGGGACAAAAACTCTCGATCTCAATCGTTAAACCTACGAACAACTGATTGACCAAGATAGCCATTGATTGTAGCTTACTCAGACTTCCCAAGCAGCATAAAAGCTGGACTTTAGCATGCATTTTTACACAGAACAAAGGTGAAGGATTTTACACACTCACTTATGGATATGAGGGATGACTAAAGCGACAAGTGATTCACATTTTCATCTTAAGTGAACATTAACAGCCATTATTTAAAATTGCAGCAACTGTAAGGTGCACGTTTTATCCTGATAAAAGTGTTTACATTAAAAGTAAAACCCATGTCCCGATGATAAGCATTTGGAGGCAGAGGCCAAGTTCGGTACTAGCCAGCGGATATCTGGGCCAAGACTACCTTTTCTGTGAAGCACTCGTTGTTTACAGTCCGATGAAGATGTGTGGCGTTTGAGTTGCAAGACGACAGATCTACAAATAGATTTTTTAACAAGCTAATTTTAGGTAACTAAAACTAAATCATGGCCAGAAGTTGGCCAATGGGTTCTCATTCTGCATACTGACCAATGTGTTTCTGCTCTTTTGCTCTCCTCATGGATGGTTAAACCGAAGCCTGCTCGAAACTTGCCCCGTCACCAAATTCTGCATTCAAAATCTGTTTATAACAAACTAAAGTTAGAAAATGTAATCATACTTAAACTTCAGGCACTTTATTGCTATTCAACAAATGGCTGGACACATTTTTAATATGATCAGTGATGCAAATTAGTCGCTTTTCGGCGCCTCCCGCTTTTTTAACGCTGCTTTGGGTGACTTGTGTAATTCGTGGAGAACCGAAGAGTTTTCGTTTTGGGGGGGGGGTGGGGGTCCGTCCGTTAGTCCGTCCGTTAGTCCGTTCGACTGACGGACAACTTCTCACTTCAAAAAAGAAGAAGAAATCTAGATCGCAAAATAATTAAACAAGCGAGTGCCTGTTTTTCCTGGCCAAGGACAGGTTCCTTGAACTCAACACGAGCGTAACGTGTCTTCACGTGGTTATGTCTCGTCTGAAAGGAGTGTAGACTAGAGTGCTTACGGAGAGCATCGGAACGCTGCTCCAGCTCTTCAAATATTGCAGTACCCATAAGGAGCCGTACACATGCTGCAGTGTTTGCGTGGCTGTGTCTTTAGTTGTAAGCACAGTGGCGATCTGTTGTTATTAGCATCTGGTTAGCTAGCTATGCTAACGAATTTAAAGAGCTTTTCTACAACCAGGTGGAAGAGAGCTCTCTCCTGAGAGGCTCAAATAACCTCAGCTCAGTGAGGTTAAGGCACACCTTGATATGATCATTATAGTTATTAATGAGACATTAGAGACTCAATGAAAAACTGGTATAAAATACTATATGACAGTAACAAAAAATGTGTTAAAAATAACAAGAATAGAGTTTAAAAGGGGAGAGATTTGTAAAATATCCCAAAAGAAAAATCTGCTTACAGTTCTGTTTCAAATGGGTGTTGAAAGATGTATCCATAGATCTCCTCATGTTGCTCTCAAAGTGCACCAGATTGATGCTTTTAACTTCAATATTTAAAAAAAAATCTTCCCGGACCCACCTAGAGAAGGTTAGGTCNCGCGGACGAAATTACTCATGAAGGGTTTGGGGGGTCTCCCCCTAGAACATTTCAGTCTAGAGAATGCACCAGACAGCATCTAAGACCTGCAAAAATCTAAATGTTCTAGGGGGAGACCCCCCAAACCCTTCATGAGTAATTTCGTCCGCGCGCATTTTTCAGGGCAATCTCTATTGGGCTCAGGGCCATCTGTAAATTATCTTAGATGGCCCACAGGGCCATCTCCCAAAATCCTTAATGTCATGCACTGAAGTCACTATTTATTTTGGTTTGAATCGTGTTTTTTTTCCATTCTTCAATTTTATAAAGGGAAAGGTATTTAGGAATCCAATTTTCATGCTTGAAAGGAGAACTTTGAGTAGTTTAAATCAATCACCAATGTAATTTTTAATACCCTACATGCTTGAAAAGGATATAGTGAACTTTAAACCACACAGATAGTTTTTCAAGCACCAAAATGTTGTTTCCTTACTGTATGGAGAGGTTGTAGAAATTAGAGATAGTCCGTATGTATTTAAAAACTTTAAAAAGGACAAAAACAAAGAATAGATGTATCTGTTAACTTATGGAATGGTTGTGATAAGGAATAAGGAACATGTAGATCCCTAAATATTAAAAATAAATAATAAGGTTAACACAAATAGCACAGAAATATGACTATTATGTTTTGATTCAACTCTTAAAACTCTAAATGTCTTTCGGTTTCCTGCTTCGTGTTTGTATAGCCTATATGTAGTACTTTAAATGATGCATATTAGGTAGAAAGTGTAAAATGGGTAAACATAAAATAAGCTTAGGCAACGGCATGCACCTTTTTAGTCTTTCGTTTGCCCTTCAAAGCCTTGTTTTATGTTTTATTTGCATTATTTTTTGTACAACTAGAAGAACCACAATAAAATTATTTTTCAAAGCATTTAATCCAACTGCTACAACGGCACTTGTGTTGTCCAGCATGATCAAATAGAGAATAAATAAGATAGAGATATAAACATTATCTTATGTTTTATTCTCCTTGGAAGGACTGTTCTCACCTGAATTAGGGTAGATGCAAACATCATTGATGTTGGTCTGAGGTTGTATGGAGGAGAAAGCCTTGCCCTGTGAATAGATAGAACAAATAAAAGTTAAACAGCAATCTAGACAGTCCAGTCCTGATAAGGTTGTTTCAAAAAGCTAATATACAAATATGAAAACACATCATCATCCACCTAAAGCAAAGGTCAGGTTCTGTAGTGCCGTGGTTCCCAACTTGTGTGCCGTAGGATCTTTTTACTTTCCACATTTTTTTCTCACTTATTAAACTTCACTCCATTTAAACTTTATTTTTTTACATGTACAATGGAGCTGATAAGCTAATAAAACATATATTGCTCAGATTTAGAAATATTAAATACCGACTGCTTAAATTCTCATGACTTACATCAGCTGTCATTGTTTACCGCGTGCAGAGCAGCTTTTTATCCTCACGCCAAAATATTACAAGAGTAATGAGAGTGAGAGTAGTGGAGGAGAGGTTTGAGTCATATTTCCCTCTTATGAACGAAGAATTTGATTGGATGCGGGATCCGTTTAATCCTCATTAATATCAGCCACTAGTTTAAATAGCAGAGCTCAGGATGCACTCGCAGAGCTATGGACCGCTCCCTGAAACTGAAGCACGGTGAACTACTTCTGGATATCCTTTGGCTGCTTGTGGGACACAAGTATCCATCCCTCTCAGAGAGTTTTATCAACGTGCTTTTACCGTTTCCAACCTCGTAGTTGTGCGAGCTGGCGGTTTACTCACTCGCATATATGTCAAAAACAAGACCCGCCCCCGGCTGTCAGTGGAGCAGGACCTCCGCGTTGCGCTGTCCACTATCCCCCCACGCATAAAGAGACTCTGCTCCCAAAAGCAGGCACAGGTGTCGCACTCACATGTGCCTATCATAGTTTTATTTTAGTTTTGCGGTTTAAACTGATTAGTCTGTTATAATTATTATTAATTGTAAGTTATCATAGGCCTACCTCTTTTGAAATCAAAATGTAAAATAATAACTCAAGAGTGGTTATTAGTCTGGTTCCATATGATGGATTCTATGGTTTTTAGGATGACTTATATTTGATTATTTGTTCTATAAAATGTTCTATTAAATTAAATACACATTTGGAAACCCATTGAATGTGTATTTATTGTTTGTATTTTAAGCTGTGAAGTGGTTTTTAAATCTACGAGAAGTTGGTGTGCCTTGGGGTCGAGAAATATTTTCAGGTGTGCCTTGGTAAAAAAAAAGTTGGGAACCACTGCTGTAGTGGCTGTTGTTGAATCTTACAGTGTCTTTGCTCCAGACTTTTATAATCTTGGAGTCGGCAGACACTACCAGGTCCAGTGGGTCGTGGAAGTTGATTGATTTGATTGGCAGGTTGTAGAAGTGATCTTTAACCAGCAGCGGCTGGTTGGAGCGCAGGTCATAGATCAGCACCTTCAAGACAAAGCAAAGGGTTCATAACGCTGTTGTAGTTCACGCATCTATTTCATTCTGAAAAATGCTACCGTCATTCAAACCAACAGTAAATGGCTACATGTATTAACAGAGGCCACATCACAGGGCACTTGCTGCTCCTGACCTTTTTAGTCAAAATAGAGTTTGTTTTGAGAACAGTGTGGCTTTTTAGAGACTGAGTGACATCAGCCACAACTTTATTAGAAAACTAATCTCAGGAAACACACAATATAAAACGTTCTGCTACTATGGGGTATCTTATATAAACCAAAAACCAAAGTTAGAGGTTGGTTGTGAAGTAGTGTGCGATCATGGTGGATCATATTGTTAAGGAGGTTATACCATGAGCAATATTATAAACAGTGTTTAGAGTTGGTAAAAATACTGAATAAAGACGTTTCATGGTAAAAATGTGTGTTTCTCAAATTCTGTTAGGGTACGACTGTGGCTATGAAGTAGTGTGTTCGTCTTCCAATCTAGTCAACACATTGATGTATCCCTGGGCAGGGACAAGGGTGTGTGAATGTTAGTGTCTGTAGGAATATGTGAAAGAGCTTTAAGGGGTCATACAGACTGGAAATGGGCTGTATAAATACAGCCCATTTATCATTTACCATGCTGCAAATGATTCTTCAGCTTTTTTCTCTGGTAACTTAACATCCAGACATGTGATGACTTAAATCCTTCAACTTGGAAAAATATAAAGTTAAAAACAACCAAGATTTGTTGTTGGCATAGATGAAACTGACCGTTCTGTTGATTAAAATTAGAGATTTCTCTAAGTTGGAAAATTGGTGAAAACATTGCGATAATGCAAGTACAAAACTCAACACAATAAATAAAATGGGGTAGGTTTATAGACATTTCAAAGAAGAAATGCTACATTTTTAGCTCACCTGTCCTGTGCTGGTGCCTACTGCCATGGTGAGGGAGCCGTTAAACTTCAGAGCGGTAATGGAGGGCAAACTTTGAACTCTGTCAACAAAAACACAATGAGAATAACACTAGTGAGCCAAATACTAAAAAATGAAATAATGGTAAACACAGCAGTGTTTTAAAACACACCGTGGAGGGTGTATTCACCATTTTACATACAATTGGATATCGTTTTAAGGTAAATGAATCATTATGGTACTTTGAGAGGCATTTGAAATGCAATATATGTTTACAATGCCGTGCTCATGTAAATTATTTGTGATTAATCATGTTGTGCTTAATTTAATCCTAAACAATTGGTTGTATATAATGGACTTGACCTAAAAAGGTAAAAAGTCACTTGGTAATCTTCACAGTTGGTGATATGACACAGGGTTAAACTGTGAATCCTATACAAGCTGGACATCTCAAAGTGTACTGTAATAATGAGCAGCTTGTTTTTGTGCTGCAGAGGAACAGGTGGGGGAGAAAAGTGAAATGTGGCTACATGTGCATTGTTAGCTGAATAGAAATGTGTTCTGGGTGTGGCACACATGGTACATACTCTGCTCCCTCAGCCAGGCTGCTCAGAGCGCAGTCCAGCTTGCCCACTCTGGTCCGAACACGAGGGTCCCAGCACTCCACCCTCCCCTGGTCATCAACAGAAGAGAGGACAGAGATAGTCAGATAAATGCAATTCCCATGTTTCTAGATCCTTGGAAGTGAGATAGAACGATTTGAAAAACAAAGGACTTCACACACTTATGTTCATCAGCCAAGATAGTTTGTAATACACAATATCTTAAAAAAAGAGGAACAATATCTAACCAGGCCCATTTCAGAACAATCGTTCAAATAAGTTAAACAACAGTTCAAAAACCACTTGATTATTAAACATAGCCAATGGAATTGATACTTCTTGTTTCAGTGTAACTGAACTCTCTATTTGAACATGTGAGACTGTTTGACTTAAAGCAGACAGAACACTCCGATAAAATAAAAAATAAAAAGTCTTAATCCATAGATTTCAAGCTTTACTAGGGGTTTCTATTCGTTTTTTATTATGTAGTTTATGTCTTTGTATATTTTATAATGCTATAAGAAATCAATGCACGGCCACACACGCACAGTTCTACTTGTGTCTGCTCGTAACCGGTGGCTCATTCCCAAATTGCCTGCTATGGTGCTTACCTCAGAGGATCCTGTGGCGAACAAATGATGGACAGGGTTGATGTCACACACATTGTTTTCCCTGAGGAGTCCAGAAAAACAGGCAACATGAACATCAGCTGACAGCAATCACCATAGTGCTAGTCAGTTAATAACAGATCACACATGTTTTCCTCTGGGTACAACTAGAGTTAAAGCCCACCATCTGGAATACATTTAAAAAATATGTTAAATGTGTTTTTTTCCTACTCTTTTTGTCTCATTTAGAAATCCTGCATCTGATGTCGCTCACAATGAGTTTCAGCAGCAGCTATTTCCTTGTGTGAGAGGAAACTTCAGAGACATTAAGCTGTACGCGATTGACTGATGAGGAGTCTGTTTTGCACCAAAATCTGTGACTAGTCGTCACAACAGAATAGTAAGGGTAGTTAGCTTTTCTTTGGTGAGCTTTTGTAACTGGCAGTTCCTGATGTCAAATATAAAATAACTGCACATCAAAAACTGAACACTAAGTATGATCATTTTAGAGAAGAGCACAGACATCTGCTCCCTCAGTACAAAAGGAATGTGAAAACACCTCTGGTGACAAACTTTGTACTGAGAACAGTCAAGGTCAGGCTTTTTATTGGATAAACACATTACGAAAACATTTAAGGGTTTATGAGATATGCAAGTGTTACTGAATCATGCACATATAAACAACATTGTTATACTCACACAGCATCGGTCTGAAGTGAGTTAAGGAAGCGCCCTTGTTCCAAATTCAGTCTGAACACTTCAGAACTGAAGAGGAAAAAATACAAAAACAAAAAACATTAGCAGTATTGCCAAAACAGCTTATTTCTCTGGCACGCACAGGAGGAATACAACAACATGCCAGGAGTAGAATACTGCGTATCTCACGCCACAGAAGTTATGCAGCTGTATGAACAGTCAACAACTCTCTCTCACCTCGTCCCCACAAAGAAGAGGTCACAGGAGGGGTAGTGGTAAGAGAAGTCCCGTCCAAACTTTGGAATACGTGTCTTGTAGTAGCTTCCATGCTGCGAGTGGAACTCTACGAAGCGGTCGCAGTGCAAAAACACCAACTGTACAGAAAACAGGTAGGAAATTAAAAAGGTAGAAGTGTCAAAAATACAGAATTATTCATTGCATTTTCATTTCAAAAGAAAAGTTAGGCAGGGTAAACAAACCATAACCAGCTGTTTACCACAGAGATATAACAAATGTTTTCCTTAAATACCCCCTCATGTAAGAATATGTCAGCAAATCACTTTACATTTGATCAGATACATTTTTGAAAATGAGTGGTGCTGGGAAATTATATACAGCTCCGGAGAAAATTAAAGGTGGGGTAGGTAAGTTTGAGAAACCGGCTCGAGATACACAACATCCCGATAGCAATGAATATCTTAAGTGCTTTGACAAAAAAATCCATAAAAAAATGTCATCTGTGGAAGCCTTAGTACTGTAAAAAGCACGACCAATCATCTGAGCCGGCCCGGCTAAAATAACTGGATGGCCTACCTGCCTGTCAGCCTTCCATCTGTGCACAAACTTATCTCGTGCCCTCATTGGTCATGTGCACGTTCGTGTGTGCTGGAAGTGGCAGAATTGTTCCGGCTTTGT